AGAGAGAGACTCATCTTGCTATGCTGCACTTCCACAATTTAAAATGTGGGAAAGCCAAATGAGAAAAGGGAAATGATACTGTCATCTCTGCCTTTTATGTACTTAGCCCACCCTTTCCATACCATCTGTGTGCTTTAATTTTGGTTGACTTTTTAAACTTTTCCATTTGTGTTTTTCTAAAGTGTTATGCTCACAAAACTAACAGAGGAAATAATTGACAAACTAATTGCAGAACAGCCACATTAAATGTAACTGCAGCCAGCTGCAAGCCAGGTGGCTAAGAGCAGGGAGGTTAAGCCTTTTCTGTGCCAAGAATATCTGTGAACTTGAAGCAGGGAGTGGGCAGGATTTTCTTGTGCTTTGAGTCTGTGGGGCATGGTGATTCTGAAGATTTAAACCTTACTCCTCACTTCCCTTCCTTATTCCCTATTCCCACCCCACCTCTCACACCAATTCAGGCTGATGGTAGGCTTGCTCCCAGGCTGTCCTCACCAAGGAAGTCAACTAGTATCTCCAACTTGCTCAGCAGTATCCACCAGCAGGACAATGGCCATGACTGCAACAGGTTTAGCCAAGCCACACAGATACAATTATATTTGCTCATAGAAGCTCCATGACTGTCCCTGAGAGAGACGGTATCAACCAGTATTAGAGCAGTTGCCTTGTATGTGAACATTTGAGAAAGATTCTCATCTCAAATCTTGAAGAGAAGCTGGCACTCTGTGTTAATTCTCCAGCCCTCACAGCTACTCCCCCATCTTCAAAGGAGCCATGCAGGGCTTCTAATGAAGTATATACATGTATAGCCATGTATGTACATGTGCACGCGCACACACACACACACACCACCACCACCAAGACCAAGGTTCTCTGGTTGGGGCTTCACATTCATCCATGGTTTCTTCTCATGCTTTGTGCATAAGAGGCACTCCATATGTCACAACAAGAAAGCCTTCAGTGGTTGCAACTATACCATGCTTGCTATACCAATGAGCAGAGAAAGGCTGTTGCACTGCAAAATATTTTTTATATTTCATAGTCTTTATTTTTTTCTAGTTATTTTATCTTTTGTTATTAAGTTTCATGTTTCTGATTATGTGGGTTGTTTGTATTGGTGTTGTTTGTATTGTGTTATTATGATTTGCTTGCCACCCAAAGTAGTGGCTCTGACACTAGCTGTGATGGATGGATGGATGGACAGATGGACAGATGGATTAGAAGGGTTAACAGAATGAAACAGCTGGTGTAAGGGATGCCTCAGCACTTTGGCATCTGTGCCTTCTGCATTTTCTGTCAGTGCCAGGCTGCACAGGCTATCAATCTGACATCCCATAAGGCTGGATAGAGAGTATGAAAGAGCTGCATAACTCTCCTCTTTTTAAGTAGAAGACTCCTAAGTATCTGGATGTTTTTTTTCTTTCTCTCCCCTATCCCCTGCCTCCAGGAATCAGACAGTGGAATGGTGCTGACTTTGGATGAAATTAAAAGCCGGAAGAGGCTGGAAATCCGCTCCTGGCCTTACGGGATTATGGCTTTGGCGTAAGTAGCCCTGGATGGGTTCATGTCGGTTGATACTGACATCCTTTCATAAATGAACATGTTAAAGAACTGGTCACACAGAGCACTATATGTAGAGTAACTTTTCAAGTCTGGGACAACTGTGTACAGAAAGCACCTCTAGCACTACTTTCCTTTTTACACATGCTTGCCCTCTAGGCAAGTCAGTTATACACTGAGCTATAGCACAGCATGCTGTGGACTACTGACACGGAATGATATCTACTTGTGTATGCTGTAGTTGAAACAATATTTTCATGTATTTTGCAAAGTAGTACAGAGCCTAGAACTCCTTTGAATAAAAGGAGTGTAAAACACTGAGTAAAACACAATGGGCCAATGGAAGAGAGAAATAGTTGTTTCAGAACTTCACGGGGCATCTTCACAGTCTAACAGACCAGAACACAACTTCCAGGTCTGTTGCTTTTCGATTATATTCCAAAATGTCTTCCTTCTACCCTGTACTCTGTTCCTGCTCTGTGAGGGGAAAAATACTAGTTTCATGAAAAGGACATCTCTTTTTTTTTTCAGATGATGCATGCATCAGCTTAGAAGAGACATAGTCAGGGCAACGAATTACTTGCACAATGAAAGCAACAATAATGATGTTGCTTAGAAGCACTAAGTAATGTGAGAAGCTCCTTTTCAACATTTCTAACATTCTGAGCTTTAAGTTACACCAGTCATTGCAATCCTGAATTTCACTCACTATATTGTGGAATCTATGCCTAGCACAAACAAGGATTTACATCTACCCACAAACATGAAAAACAGCTCTCAAGTTCAGATCACTTTTTCTCCAAGTGGCTTGCTGAGCTGAACAAGGAAAGAAAACGTCTCCCGTGTTGTTGATTTCTCTCTCTTCTTTCTGAAAACATTTATTCTGGACCCATTACAAACAGTCCTGCTTCCCCCACACAAAACCTCTGGAAGATTAAGCATGTCTGCCAAAGAAGGCTCCCACCCCCTACCCCAAAGTCAAACTGTTTATTTGTCTTGCATTTGATTTCTTCCTCAAGTTGAAAGTAAGTGTGGAGAGGGGGAGGAATTGGCTACACTCAAGTGGAGAAGGCTCACATCAAGAGTTTAGGGAAGACAAATATAAAACTCTGGACCTGGGAATCCTGTTGGACAAGTTACAACTATTTGCTGTATCAGGTGTTAAGAAGCCAAAGAGAAGACTGTGTAGCATCCAAGGGAACACATAGTAGATGATCTGTGACATGAAGGGATGCAAACTTCAGCTTTGAACTCTTTTGTAGCATGGAAGTGCTGCTTTTATAGTGCAGTTTTAAATCCCTGTTTTAAAAAAGCCAGAAATACGCCAAAACATACAGGTGAGGACTAAGGTATTCTCCAAGCCAGATTCAACAAAAGTGCCTCAGACTTAAGAAAACTGTAGTACAAACACCCTTAACATTCTTCTAGCAAGAGACGACAACAAAATCATGGTCAATAGTAGGAGGTCTTCTTCCTTCAATTTAATATATTGGGGAGCATATTGTAGCTGTGGGATTCAAATGCAGACTTCCTAGAGTCTCCATCCTTCCTAATGTAGTTCCCCAAATGGCTGCACTCACACCACGTAATGCCTTCAGTTGGGCATCATTGCAATTCCTCCTGCAGATGCATCAAGAGCCACAAACCTAAAGTATTTGTACCACAACTTTCCAATAATTTACAGAGTAAGAACAGGTTCTCATTCTTGTCTCCAAACCTATATATCCATTATCTCACCTGTTGCTCATCTGACACAAAACTGATAAAGGCGGGGGGGGGGGGGAGACAACAGTAATATTTTTGGAAGTCTCATGCAACAGCATATTCTCAATCAGCTTTGTAACCATTAATAAAATCATAATGGGTCTTAAAAACTATTTACTCTTTATACGAAAAATAATACCTATTAAAATACATATACAAGCTATTACAAATCCCACAGCTTGCTTATTGCAGTTACTACAGAATGCCAGCACAAGATATTTCTTGCTGCAAACAGCAAATTGATCAAGACATTTTCCTTCCAGGGTTCCTGCTTGCTATGGATAGAAATTTTAATGGCCAGGAAAATCTGGCAGGGCTGCAATCTTATGCAGGATGACCAGAGTTTAGAAAGTACTTTTTTAAAGCAATGTAACAGTATTATCCACTGTTATACTACAGCAAAATGTTTTGGCAAGCCCCTATATACTACTTCAACAGTGCCCACTAGCAAGCAGCACCGACACCCAACAGAGCATTCAGCTGAGCCAAAGAATCCACTCCTATAAATCCCTGCTCTTAGCACTTGTTCCTCATCCTGAGTAGCTTCTCTCTAGTGGGCAGGAAGAGGAGGCCACCTCCTCCCTCTCTTGTGGTTGAGTGTTCAAAGACAACTGGAGTGGCAGCAGCCATCCCTCTTGCAGGAGCTCTTCTTTCCAACACTTCTAGCAGCAGAAAAACATGTGCCTCTACTCCAATTTCTAATCCAAACCTACTCAGAGATACTAGAGATGGGTTCTTTTGCATAGACGTGTCCTCTGTCTGTTTGGTTGTGCATCTTGCCCCCACGCTCCACAGACAAGTTGATGCAACCTGTATCCAGAAAGATCTCCCAGGCATGAGAAGAAATGAAAGTTTGCATCTGAACCCCTGAAAGAAGCACTCCAAGCATCTTAACACAGGCTCAGCTGCTGGGGATGGAAAGGGCAAGACTAAAATGTTAGTAAATGCAGAACGTGAAAAGAGTAGGAAACAAAGGCTGTAGGACTTTTTTTAAAAATTTCAGAATAGGCATGAAGGTTGTATTTTCAAGAAGGTAATTGCATTTCCATCTGCCAGAGATGGTTAATCACAGCAATTGGTCCTGATCAAACTCTTCATGCCTCTGACCTGAGAGCAAATATTGAATGCCTTTCTTTACGAGTCTCTCTTCAAACATAAACTGACAGACACTGTCACTCCCAGATGCAATCTGGTGGCTAAGATGGGACAGATAAACAAGCTCCCTCCTGCTTGCTTGGAGCTGACATAGCTCAGAGGGTCTCACTGTGTGGCCAGACTAAAGCTTAATAATACTTCTTTTCTCTGGCGCTGCAAAACTCGCACAGGCACAGGGCCAAGTTACACAGATATGTCTGTGTTTCTCCCCATCTTCATGGACCAATGTAATACCTGCAAAATTAAAAAGCCCATGGAGCTGACCCAAAAAACAATGGGGGGCAGTAATAAGGGGGAAGGGATGCCAAGGGACAGCAACAATTAAACAAAAGCAACGATTACACAAAAGACATTTAGCATAAAACGTGATGGACAAGCAGCCAGTTGCATGCAAGTGGAAGTCCTGCAAATCCCCAGACATGGAGGTTTTTGCAGCAGAAATCTCTCAACATGAAAAAAGAGACTGCACTGATTGGTACTATGGCCTGCCCTACCATTAGACACAATAAAACAATAGCCCCAAGCAGCAGCCTTGGGGTGTAAAGAAGGAGCAAATGGATAAAGTTGTTAGTTTCTCCTAAATTTTTAAAAATTATTCTGCTGCTATTGTCAGGAAAGCAGCACTTGTGAGATTTTCTGTTTATGAGCCAAAATAATTTACCTATTTTTTGGTAATATACATCTTGGCTTGGGTAGGATCTCTAAATTGTTTCAAATTTTCTCATCCTTGATCAGAAGGATGTATCAACACAGCATGCCCCACTGGGAAAAAAAGGCCAGCTAAAGATTTGCAGTTTGGTGTTCTGCAATGGCCTGCCAGTCACTGTACTAGCTGGGTATGATGGGGCTGTTAGGCAAACTCATCTCAAGGGCCCCAGATTTGACAATGTTGGCTCCCATCAGCCTGCCATTGCGGACAATTGAATGGCAACATATCTATGACGAAGGGTGGTTAGCCAGATACCGTTAATGACACATTTTGTTCTTGGTTTTTTTCCCCACTTGCAGAAGAAAAGCCATCATTAGCAAGAGCAAAGAGTCAGTGTTCTCAGAGACCGAGCGTGAGCCTGTGAAATATCGATCAGCAGGCCAGGTGGATGAAGACACACTGGAGGAGTCAGTTCTCCTTCCCATGGATGCCAGCCTGGAATGCCACAGTCCCCCTCCTGACTACAACACTGTGATCCAGTACTCTGCTCCTCCGGTGTAGCAGCCCCTTGGAGGACTCACCTTCCTCAGCATCTCGAACCACACAGTATTCTCATCAGGTCTCAATCACACTGCCTGCTCCATGGGACTAGTGTTAAAAAAAGAGGATATGTCTCACAAGTGCCTTCGTTCACCTGCCTTTGGTGTCATATCCCCAGTGCCAGTAAAAATCAGTTTAAGAGAAGCTGTCTTAGGGCTAGATCGGCCTGTCTGACTTTATATCCTCCTACAAAGCAAACTTTTTTAAAAATGCTGCAGCTGTATCCAGGGATTACTGTTCTCAGAGTTACACTTATAAAGAAATGTGCTTGGGTTTTTTGCTCCTCTTTTGTTATCTATTGTCACTCCTGGAACTCAATTTGATTGGAGAACTGAATTTATATCTGCCACACATACACCCCACACATCCACACCCATCCACACCACAGAGCAAGTTGCATTTTACTATCCTCAAAAATGAGGCCAGCAATGAATGCATGCTGCCCATTACTCCTTGTCTGTGACATCACCAAGAGTATCTCCTCTTTCTCTCCTTCCCCCAGCTAAAGAATTAATCCTTAGCCTACATCTGTATTTGTATCAGTTTTAACCATCATGGCTCCCCTCCCAAAGAACCCTGGGAAATCTATCATAGTTGCTGAGATTTCTCCATCAAAAATCCTTTTCTCACTCACTCAGAAAATTATAGTTTCCATGGTTCCCTGGCGAAAAAGAATAGCAAATGAACCCATTTTAAGACTCTATGCTGTCTGATGTCTAGCCTGACCTCTTCTTACCCCAAAATAAATATATTTTTCAAAGGACAAGACGGGCGGGCGGGCAGACTGTCTTGGCAACTATAATAGTTACTGTCTCTAAAATTCAGGGAATGGGTTTGTCCCAATATGTGGAAATGAAGACATCTTAGGTAATTTTAGATGGATGCAGTGATGCAGGAGAACAGATGCCTTTAGTGTGGCTATGCTGGGGTAGGAGAATTGAAAGGCAGGCCTAAGGCTTTGTGAAACTGTGAATTGAAAACCCTTCCACAAGGGTCTTAAGGAAGGGTCAGTCTGATTCTCTCATGGCTTTTGAACAGAGAAAGCAATATTCTTTTTTAACAAGCAGTGAGAAAGTATCTTCCTTCCATTGAGTATAATGAACCATATAGAAAGTATCTGGTGCAATAGATTAAATGCACTTAATTTCCAAGTTGTTCTTTTGCAAAGTCAGGAGGGGGGAGTCTTGTTCTCTCTTTCTTTAGTGTTCTGAAATGACTTTGATGTGGCTATGTTATGAAAACTGGTGTGTGGAATGCTTGTTGTGGGCAAGTGAATTTTTCCCCAGAGCAGTTTACCAGCAAAGGGTGGCAGCGGAGGAGGTTAAAAACTATAAAATGTATCACAGAGGTATACCCTGAAATGGAAAATATTTCTGAAATGCTAAGGTGCCTGAAAAGGCAACAGGTGTTTTTAAGCCTGGCAGAGAAAAATTTAAAAGGGTGTAGAAAAGCTGAGCAAGGTGGTTTGTCGGCTTTTGAACCAGCACTTCTAGCAACTTTTGTAATGATTTTCACTGGCAGTACAGTAATTGGTATCCAAGAAGTGGCAACAAACATGTTAGCTCCATGCTGTGAAAAGGGTTGCAGAAGATCAGGTCTTTCTTACAGGCCAGGAGCAGGCCAGGCTGTTGTGTTTTCTATTTAAGGAAGGAGGAAAGAGGCAGCCTTTTCCTGAGCCACTGTGTTTTGTATCGTGTAACAGATCTCCTTCTGCAACTCAGAGGTATCCCTTAGCTATGTATGAGTGCTGTGGAGATTCCATCTGTCTGAGACACCCTGGAAAAGAAGTGTATTGTGGAACTGGAACACACATGGCTCTGAGAGACAGCGTATCTATTTCTAGCATGACAGGGCTGCTACTCTTCTCCTGCATTTTCCCATTCAAGTTTCAGTTTGCACCTTGGAGATAGCCTTACTGGAGTTACGCTTTCTTGAAGGCTAATGGTGCTGACGTGATTGTATGCCATAGGATCTTCTCACTGCATGTAATATTTAAACTTACTGGAAAAGCATGACAGGAAGATGCAGCCTGCCACTATAAAAGGTCCAAGAAAGATAGGTGATAGGTCCTGTCCAAAGAAAAAGATGCTGGTTTCACACCTTCCTTCCAAGTCTCATAGAACCCTAATCTATCTGCCTAGAGCACAACCCTGAAATCAAATCTTACATCATGTGCTAAACAGGATTATTGAAAATTAATTTCAGTGCCTATAGCTTTCAGCTCTCTCATTAGAACTATTATAGTACCTCAGGTGTATAGAAGTAGCAACTGGAGTAGGGTGAGTGATGGAATCTCCTTCTGAGCAAGTAGCAACACTCACCTAGATCGCTGGATCTAAAGACTATTTTTCTAGTAATATGTTACTAAGTCTTTCAGAAAATAATTTTGAATGTCTCTTCCCAAATCTAAAGGTCCACCTGAGCACCTCTGTGGTGGTGGTTCTTGCTTGGGTTTTATGAATGGATCTCCTTTTGACTCTATTTTTAACCAGGAGAAATACTGCCTAAAAATGGAGCTGTATTACTTGTATTGTATTTACTAATATTCTTTTTGTCTTTACCACTTCCTTCTTAATTTAATGGTTGTGCTGTTCCAGTTACGTTGATATATGTATGTATGTATGTATGTATGTATATCAAATCCAGCCAAAGAAATGTCCTTTTGGTTGAATCCTATAAACTTACTTAGGTGGGACAGTAAGATCCAGTGGGGCCTACTTCTGAGTATATGTCTTTTGGACTGCACTGTTGATCCCACTGGGAGAATAAGCTCCACATGGGACTTCCCTTTGGCTGGATCATGCTCATAGTGTTTACTCAGTAAGACCAGTTTATTATAGACTTTCATGTATGTGACACTATTTATAATGTTTTTAAAAGTACTTCAGAGCAGGAAGATCCCTGACATAAGAGGGTTCTTCAGAGCTTTACTGAAAATGTCCTTCATGCTTGCAGGCCAGGCTCCAATTTACAAGAATCCTTCCCTTCCCCTTCCCTTTCCCTTCCAAGCCAAATGTCCTCCCAGCTCCTGAGCATTTGAGTGCTTTCGTTTGCTTTAATGCTGCTCAGATATTTTTAGACATAAAGGAACCATGTGCTTTTGATCCCCTTCCCAACTCTGTTAGTGGGCAAGTCAAGAGACAGAATGAAATTGGAGCAGAGTGAAAGGACAATAGGGATATAGTTTTTTTTCTTTTCACATACTCATCTGGTGGACAAAAAGAAGAGTTAATTGCCTTTTGAAGTCCATGTTTTTTTCAGACTGGACATTTGTACCTCTCTAAGTTCCCCATCAAGCACTGACTGTAATGGTAATTCTCCCTATATCCCAACAACGCTCCTCTTATCTAACTTTGCTTTTTTCCCCAGGGAATCTCAAATCATTTTCACTCTCACAACCCCCTTGGAGTTAGGAGAGGGTTCTGAGTGTTTTTGATATCAATTTGTTAGAGGACAGAGGTTAAGTAGTATAGTGCTCTCAGTTTGTAAATTCTTCAGTGGGAGTCTCGTGCTTGGTGGCTTTCATTTTTTTATTATCTTTTAATATAAAAAGGTCAATGATGCTGGTTTTGGACAATGGAAGTAGGGCAGCACTCCAGAAAGACAGAACTCCCCTAAGGTGAGTTTGCTGTGTTGCAGATTAGTGCTATATCACCTCCAGTCTAGTAAGTTCATTTGGACAGAACCCCCAGTAAACCCCATGTTCTTCTAAAACCACATGGCAGAAAGAAGAGGGGAAAAAAGGCAGTAGAAATTCCCTGACTGGAAAGGCCCTTAGACTACTCAGGGAATTCTTTGTGCTTCAGAGGGCATTCTGCTGTCTGCTTTTGTGGCCTGATTTATCTCAAATATTGATCAATACAGATCTTTTATTTCTTTTAAGCAATACTTCCCACTCCCATTTGTGATCCTACAATTCCAGCAAATGAAGCTCTGCTTCATTCATTTTCTGCCCATCATCTCCATTTATGACATACTCTCTGGCTGCAGAGAGCCATTTCTTCATATCTCTGATCCACTCTTAAACATAGCTGATTCTTTCACAAATTATATTCCTTGTCCAGTTCTAATTTTACTGTTACCCACTGTTAAGTCAAGACAAAAGCACTAATGGCAGTATTACTTTTCCATTTCCATTTTTGTGCCTGAGAGGACTGTCACACAGCAAACATACCACCCTGAGGTCTCTTTGATGGCTGTCCTTTGCCTCAGCCCCTCATTGCCCTGTACCAGTTTTTTTATATAGCTGTCCAGAGGGATGGCAGGTTATGGGAAGACTATCTGGAGATAATACTGAACAGAAGCTCCCATAATCTTGAACAGTGATTCTAACTTGTGATTACCTTATTTTTCCTATGGGCTGGAGTTATCAGTGCTGTTAAGAAGAACCTGTAACTAAGCATAATCACCAGCACCTTAAGGGAAAAATATCCAATAGATATATTCCCCATTCCACTCCAAACATTATGGGAATCTATGGTGAGACTGGTTCCTGTCTCTCTGAAGAATGTATGCACTGAAAAACCTGCTTTTTTTATGTAGTCAAAAGTGTATTGTAATTATTAACCAAATTATAAATTAAAAGGATTCTATATTTATACAGATTATGCCTCTTTTGTGCCATATGTTGTTTTTCATTATACCTCAAGCAACAGACTAGTAGAATCCCATAGAAATATATCCAACACAGGCTTAAAAATTGCTTTTTCACAAATTGAAAGCATTTTGCTACACACAGAGACACACATACAGATAAGAAGTTAGACTTTCAAAAACTGGGAACATTTTTACAAGTCTTTCAGAAAGAAGAATCAAGCCATCTTCTTTTGGGCTGAGATTTTGCAATTTGAGGTTTACCATCAAACAAGCAAACAAACAAAAACCCTACCTTCTGGTCCCTGTGGGTCAAACCTTTCACATGGAAGAATGGACTGAAAGCCTGACTGAGCAGACTTTTGATAGTGGGGCAGCTCATCCTAACAAGCAATCATTAAAGTACATGATCTGTAGGCACAGTGACCCGAAATTAAATAGGGTCAGTGGATGATAGTAATGCTGTTGCCATAAGGGCAGTTAATCTGCTGCCACCCCCAATCTTGCCAATGCTCCTCATGTCCAAATAGTGCTCCCCAAGGATAGCAACTAATCTCAAGAAAGATTATAAAATGGTGACTGGGTGAGCTTGTTAGCTTTCAAGGATGTGTTGACCACAAAGACACCCATATTGGTACCAGGAGGGAGAGGGAGAGGGAGAGGGAGAGAGAGAGAGAGAGAGAGAATGTGAGAGAGAGAGAGAGAGAGAGAGAGAGAGAGGGAGTGTTACTATCCAAGGTGCTGAGATGGAACTCCTGCTAGCCGAACCAAACTTAAGCACACTTTAGTATATGCATCCGCCACCACAGTTCTGTCGGAAATGATATTCTTTGGGCAGGATGGGTATGAGGAGAATTTGGTCACTTGGACATCTAGGGGATCAAACTGTAAATAGAGAAAACCACCTAGTGCACAGTAATGCATATATTCTATTACATTCCTATAAGATATGCAGTTTTGACCAGCCTGAGAGAAACTGAGATATAGGACACAGGAAGCAGTCTTAGGCTGGATGAGACTGTTCATCAAACTCAGTAGTGGGTAAAGTGCAGCTCTTGACTACACACAGTTTCCCCCTCCAGGATTCTCACCACGAAAACCCTGTCACCCAGTACCCCTATAATGCTAGACAGAATCTGAACTGGTTTAAGAGAGGAAGTTACAAATATCCCTGTTTGCAGAAATCTCCATAAATTATTTTTAGTAAAAGCCAGATTCAAACCTGGTATCTGAAAAAAAGCAAAGTGTGCTGCTTATTTACTACCCCATAGCGCTTCAAACACTCTCTGGGCAATTTACAAGTTCATTACACAAGCTACACATTGCTCCCCCTGCAAGCTGGGTTCTCATTTTACCAACCTCAGAAGGATAGAAGGCTGATTCAGCCTTAAGCCAGCTACAGTACCTGGGATAGAACCCCCAGTCCTGAGCACAGTTTTGGCTGCAGTACAGCAGTTTACGCCACGAGGCTCTCTGAATAGAGAGATGAGTTGGGTCATCAGGGAAGATGCTCAGATTTGAAACCACCACAACAGTTTTGCAGTGCTATTGATTGCACAGAATTGCTTTTGGTCAAGTTCCAAAATAAGAGAGAGAAGAAAGAACAAGGGGAAGCAAAAGAAAGCTCAAGAACTTTTGAAAACCTAAGAAAACAGAATCAAAGAAAATCTCTTGAGAGACCCTCTGGTTGCAAGCACAGGGCAAGTGTCCAATCAATGGCAGAAGCATGAAAGGGATCATCGATTAGATAGCCATAGCAACAGGGAACATGTGGGTGTGAGTCCCTTCACTGAGAAATCAATCATACTTCTCATAATGGGAGGGAATTCTGGTGGACAATGTGGGTCAAGTTCACTATTGATGAAATTCCAAAAATGCTTTTCCTGGTTAACCTCCTTGACTCTATTCCAAATGTACATATCTCTCATTGTCCTTATTTCCTCTCTCTTGAAATATTCTGGAAACTAAAGTTGGAAACCAACTGATGAGAACCAATTGCCCATCATTATCAGCCTCCACTGCTCCATTGCTGACACTGTGCTGCAAGAAACAGAATTTAACTGAGCCTGGTATAGTGACTTATACTGTGTGTGCATGGCCCTTGACCATAGCACTTTGATCTCTGCTCCTCCAAAACCTACAAGAGGAACATGAGCAGCATAATTTGCAGTATCCTGAATTGTAGTTTCTGATTTTCCAGGTCAAGGAGGTGAACGGGAGATGCATTTTTTTGATACATTGGTGGGACTTTAGCTTCTTTTTTTGAAGCCGAGCTTTTGTCAAAATGAATTCTTCAAATCCCAAAAGGTTAATTTTTTAAATGATAACTTAATATCCCCCCTCACCCCAGAAGAGTTTTGACCTTTGATTCATATATATTTTTCAACTCCAGTCTTTGCTGTTGATGCCTCAAGCAAAGATGTCACAAACCGTCTTACCAAATAGTGCAGCTAACAATGAAAAGCAGGGGTAAGGCAAGGAGAGCAGGTGGATAAGCCAGCAACTGGCTCTCTGAAGGTAACAACTCCCTTTCTGTCCTTGGTCACAAGTTTCTCCTTTGCAACATTATGTCCCTGTCACTCTAAAGCTATAATGGGTCAAAATAAGCCAAAACCAACTTTAGGAGAAGGTGGTGAGGAAAATGCCAACGGACTCTTCACATGCCAAAACTAAAGTGCAGCCAGAATTTAGTAGACCAAAAGTGTGCATCCCAAATAACAGGATGCTTGTTTACATCAAGTCAGCCCACTGGTCACGTCCAATTCACTACTGGCTATATTTGTGTAGCCTGGTTTTTCGGGAGAGGGGTAGGCAACATGCAGGCAGAGGTTGAAATGTGCAGCACCCCTCCACACTTGCTCCAAACATTTTTTTAAAAAATGAGTTAGAGCCCTTTTACTGGCTCTTATATTGTGTTTAAGAGTCCACTGAACTGAATGACTATTTTCTTGGATCGTGTGAGATGGTGCCTACTTGACCTGGCAGTATGTACTATTACTGGACTGTGTATAGCAGTGGTCTCCTTGAGCCTCCAGATGTTCTTGGACTTCAACTCCCAGAAATCCTGGCCAACAGAGGTGGTGGTGAAGGCTTCTGGAAGTTGTAGTCCAAGAACATCTGGAGGCCCAAGGTTGGGGATCACTGTGTAACAGAACTTTTCTTTTTCCCCTTACCTATCTGGTCAAATTCTGGATACCTGATCAGCTGTATTGTTTGGCTTTGATTTGTAATTTCCCTCATCTAGTGCTGCAGCCAGTCTAGACTATACTTTGAGGCCACTGAACAGGACACCCTCTTCCACCACCACAAAGATCTGTTGCGCCACCTTCAGTTTACTATTCTCCATCTCCATCCTGCAGTGCTGGAACTTTATCTTCTGTGCAGAACAGTGCTGAAACACTTTGGACCAGGACTTTCCCACCACAGACATCACTGCATATGAGAAGCACTATAATTCTAAATGCCACCCCCTGTACAAAGAGGAACAAAACCAAACTTTGGTTTAGAGAGGAAGAAAAACTTGTGAAAAGAAACTGGCACAAAGTAAGAGGCCATTAGTATACAACCCAATCCTGAGAACAGAATTAATGCTGTGTCTCAGAGATCCCATGTGACCACCATCTGTCTCAACCATAACATCTGCCCTTTGTTGTTGCTACTGTACTTGCTTGCTTTGTTGGTGTTTGCTTCTTATCCTCAGTGCTACCCTACATATGGCTACTCCCAGGGAAATTTCACTGCATTCAAAGGGCTCATGTTCCAGTAAATGGGAGGACTTTCAGACCATCCCCTTATTCTACTACAATCATTTCCATCTGACCATTCAGTATGAAAACTCTAACCAGTGGGCCTCACAGCCAGAATGCAAAATGTAAGAATGAAGTTGAAACCATATTGTTTCATTGCATTCAACATGGCAACAATTCTACTTAAAGAGACCCAAGTGCGGTGACTATCTTTTCCATAGGGATAACCTTTTCCATAGGTTATCTCTATGGAAGTTTCCACAGGGCCCAGGTGAAGTCCAGATCTCCATTTCTCCATGAGATGATCATGCCTCTTTTATCTCATGGCCACTGAGGAAGCCTCATCAGAAACCTCTGGTTAAGAATCTAAGAACTGCTACTTAAATTGTGGGTCATTTTGACTTAAAGTAGGTTACACTGGTCACAACAACGTCCTTTCCTTTATAGCTTTCATTCAAGAACCAAAAGAGGAGGGGAGAACAAGGAAGAAAAGGAGATCCAGTAATGGAGATAGGAGCTGAAAGTAGCAGAGTTTGGAGAAAGTCCCTTTTTTGGACTACCATTTCCACATTCCTCAACCAGCATGTCCAAAGTACTGTCTCAAAGCCCAAATAAATGACTTCTCTGAGCTCTGGAAGGCACCACTGCCAGCCATCCAGGCAAGTTGGAGATAACCAGAAGTAACCATACAATCAAGCTGCAATGATGCTAGCTGGAGACATTTGGAAACAGAAGTCCAGAAAAGTGAATGCTGCCAGATGATTGCTAGAGCTTGCTTGCTTTCTCTGCAGTCCTGTCTCTCATATAGATGGGGAAGCAGCAAGAAACCTCTGAGGAAACAAACAGCAGTGAAATGTTCTTTCCATATCAACTCCTGCCCTTGGAACTGATTAACTATATCATGAATTCTTATTTTAAAGTACAAAATTTATTCTGCAACAAACCTTTTTAAAAGCAGCTGCCGCTGATGGCAACTAAAGTGAAACTGAAGAGATAAAATTCTTCTTTTAAAGATTGGACTGAACATCACAATGGAAGCAGATTTTCATGAAATTTCATTAGCTAGTGAGTTCATAAACCACAAAAAGGGGGGAAGGGGGAGTAAATTAGCAAAACCAAGAAAGCTGGGGAGAAACATATATTGAGTCAGTAAACGATCACTTTATCTCTCAGTAGCTGTAAGAGGAGCCTATAGAAATGGAAGTTATTAGCTAATAAAACATCCAGGAAAAGGAGTTCTCTATTAAATTTCAAGCATGCCTT